AGTCGCTTTGGATAAAAGCGTCTGCAAAATGACTAAATGTAAATGTAAATGTAAATTACATTTATATAGTGCTTTTCTATGCACTCAAAGCGAATGACCACAGAGAGTCAGGACCTCGGTTTAACGTCTCATCTGAAAGACGGATGATTACATGTCATTAACTAACTGCATGATTTTCACTATATATTTCTGCCATATGGACATCAACTTGACCACTGATAAGCTGGTAGCACTTTATTTTATAGTACGTGTACTTCCCTGGTACATACAGTACATGGTAAATATCTTGTACCTACAAGCAAATAAGTGGTAACACAAGGTACTTACCTGAAATGTATGCACATAGTAACAAATAAGAAACATGGCTGTACTCAACAGTCATACATGCATGGTAATTATTTTGTACCTACAGACAAGTGTGGGTACTTACAGGTAGTGCCTGTACATGGTAACTAATTACATACTTTACTGTACTTACTAATGTATATACATGGTAAATATGTAGTACTTATGGACAAGTGGGTACAAACAGGCACAGTATCCATATATGGTAACTAATAACTGTACATACTAATGATATGTACATGGTAAATGTGTAGCACCTACGGAAAAATGTGGTATTATGTGGTAACAAACAAGACACATACTGTACTTGGTATACACGTGGTAAATATGTAGTACTTACCAACAAGTGTGAGTAATAACGGTCACTAACAGGTAGTGTCAGTATATGGTAACTAATAAGACACATTACTATACTTACTAATGGTCTATACATGGTAAAGTTTAACAAAGTTTGAAGAACTGGTAATTCCTGTGTAATGTTTATGTAAAATGGTGCACTTTATTTTACAGTCCTATTTCCATATGCTTACTATGTACGTACTGCTGTATGTACCTATTATGTACGGTACTCAAGTTGGGGGGTATAAACATGGACCAAGGTACTTATTGAGTAATTGATGGTAAGTGCCATTGCCTTATCTTTAACGACACTGATTCTCTTAACTAATTGGTCCAATAGGGATTTTTGATGACGTACATTCCTAATAATTATGTGTGTAGACAGATTTTATTTTGGAATTATACAGTAGCTACCAGACTCATATTTGCACTTGCAACTCCTGATTGTCATGTGTCTAAATCCCTATTTAAAAGGACTGTGCCTGCTAAGTATTAACACTATGCAGTGCTGCACAGTTACTGCCGTGTTCCCAACCAACTTCCAAAGTTCCAAACTGCAATGGCACCTATTAATTACTCAATAAGTACCTTGGTCCATGTTTATACCCCCCAACTTGAGTACCGCATAACTTATTCTGTACATTAACTATGTACATACACCAGTACGTACATAGGAAGTATATGGAAATAGGACTGTAAAATAAAGTGCACCAT